AATGAATCCACCCCAGACCATCACTGATCCTTGTCCTATTCCTCTCCCAGCTGTGTGGAAGGAGAGAATGGTCAGGAAGGAGTGTCTTCGACACATCTTCTCAAGTATGCTAGGTATATGCGCTTTAGATACACTTGCCCTCGAGGTAGCTCGAGGGTGAGGGTAGCTTGCTACGGGAGAAGAACCTCGTACTCGACACGAGGCTGGAGGAAACTAAAAAGTTTTCCAACTCTAGCTTCCGTGTCGAGTAGCACACATGAGAGCGGGGAGGGGAAACCCTTCGAACCTGGGCGGGAGGGAATGTCAGAGACATGTGGGTTCGAAAAAGGTTCGTGAACCGCGAAAAGAAAAGCTCCTAGATGAGAAACTGTCGTGAGAAAGAGACTGGAGGGAAGCGTGGGAGAAGGAGATAGTTCCTGAAGCACATCAACAGAGGCTGATGGAATAAGGGATGACTAGATCTCCTCAGGACCGTGCCTGAACGGTCATTCTCCAGGGCAAATCAAACCTACACAACGTTAGGTAGATTTGCAGAGTCTTGACGCGGAGAGTTTCACTCTTGTGAAATCTCCTGCTCTTTCGGGGAGCTTTTCGAGGTGGGACAAGGACTAGTGAGATTCCTAGTCCCGTCGTCACCACACCTCAAACAACGGCCTGATTTGAAAGAAGGCGCCAAACAGGATGCATCGTACTTTTCAGCCACTTTTCGCCACACCCAAACTTTTCGATATGGCTTTCCAATCTCAAAGGTGGATTCATCGGTCCAAATGACTCGCTTCCAATCATCCACCGTCCACACCACATAATGTTTTGCAAACTCCAGACGTGCTGCTTTATGTTTAGCACTCAAATAGGGCTTGACTATTGCTACTCTTGAGTTGTAACCGAGGGATTTCAGAGCAAGTCGAATTGTAGTAGCACTCGCTTTTGTTGCAGATCCTTGGACTATCTCACGCATCGGACCCCGTCGAGACTTTTTTGACATCACGCTCAAGATGTCAGAGATCACGATCGTTCAATAGAGATGGTTGGCCGGATGGTTTTTTGCCTTCAACTGAGCCTTCCGCTTTGAATTTTGCGAGGACAGATTGGACTGTGGTGACTGGACACCCTAGAGTTTGGCTGATATCTACATTTCTCTTCTTTGCTAGGTGCATTCCGACCATTTGGTTTTTAAGATCCAATGGTAAGGGCTTCATCTCAACAATTTCAGAGGTGATGATCCACATGTTTGACCAGAAGATTGGTAAACAACAAAAATCAAAAACCAAAAAATTAAGAAATTAAAAACAAAAAACCATAGCTTTTACGTCACTACGTGTACATACATGTCTGGTCAGTTCCCTGCTCATCTAAAGAAGTAAATAACATGTGATACAACATGTAACTTTTTCCAGTTTGACAAACAGGTCCTAAAAATTGACTACATATACTTCCATAGCTAGTCATGTAATGGGAGTGTAACCGTGTTGGTCTTCCTCCGAGACTATCTCGCTCTGAGACTATCTCTGAGACTATCCAAAATCTAGAAAAACAACGTGGCTTGTTGTACACTTGACGCACAGGTTGGTGGCAGCTTGTAGGAATGTATGGTTCATACATACAGTGTATTAGAAATCCATTCAAATGGCTCAGTTTTGTCCAGCTCCTTGAAACAGAAAGAATCCCGCTCGTGAATCTTTTCATCACAAAAATGTGCATTTTGATTTTGAACACCTCATATCCTGTCCTTGATAAATGACTTCCGCTTCCAAGCTGCACGAGGTAGAGCACATCACCACCTAATACACAAATCTTAGTTAAATCTTTGAGAAGAAGATTATCCCATATCCTATGTACATTCTGGATAGATCTTGCAATGATATTGAAAAGCATGATCAAAATAAATAGAATGAGCCTGAAGGGATTAATGAGATTGTAAATAAATATTGATTGATTGATTGGACTAAAGAGGTTCACTTCTGACTTAATTTATGATATCCAACAAGTTTTTGACTCCCCCAAATCACATCAAAACATCAAGTATCACATGTAGGCTAGAAACTGAAACATCATGAATTTTTGAATCAAATTCAATAAGTTTCTGTTTGAAACAGAAGTGATTCGGCTTCTTATGAAAAGACCGACTCTCACATTGGTCAGCATCCAATCATTGGACCATACTAGAATTAACAAGTTGCTCTCATTGACCAAGTGACATAGTATGTACCTGCGTAGACATGGATCCATTGCTTGTTGTACATCTTATCACTCTTGTAAACACACTCTATGCTTTCCCACTCAATCAAGTAAGTGTCTGATTCACCATTGAGATTCATAAAAGTGCCTCCCCTGTTTTGGCCTTGTATTAGTCAATGTGAAGTATGTATCTGTACTTCCCTGTGTGTATGTAACCTGCTTTTTGTGGCAACGTGAGGGGGGATCTAAGAAAGATTGAGGAAATGCAGGGGGGAAACACAAAAATCAGTGCTGCATGTCAAAAAAATCACTTCTGCATTTTGTGAAATGAGGAACTGAGTTTTGTGTTTTCAATTGACACCACATAAGTTTATTTTGAGTCTGAGTAAGTTCTAGACTATTCTATCTTCTTCATGAATGAAGTCAGGTGCAGGAAAGTTTGCAGATTGAGAGTTCTGTGCCAATAAGGATATCCATCACTTCAAAGCTCAGAGAAAGTTGAATATATAGAGCATTCTGAAAAGCAAAAGATCCAGTTGAGTATACTCTGAATGCTCCATAACAAATCTTGAGGTGAGTCTCTTATCACCTCAAGCCACAATGCTTGATAACTAACCTATAAGGTTTCAGGAAAGATAATAAATAAAGGAAATGCACAACCCAGAGTTCAGCATATTAAGGACCAGGCGCACTTTGGCCCAAAAGTTGTGCGTCGTCACCAACTGTTCCAGTTCAAGAGTAGATTTTGACTTGGTGATTGGCGAGGATCAGCCAAATCTCCATGTAGAGCGCAAGTGACATGAAAAAGGATGTCACTTGCTGACCTATCTAATACCATCATCAATGTTTACAATGTTTACGATGCAAGTAAAACCGTGAATGCTGAGCTTGTGGCATGTTAGCTTTTAAGTAGTGTACATAATAGTTTTGCTGAAACTCATCCGATTCCTTTCTCAATATCTCTAAAGCCAACACACAAGATTAACTTAAGCCAATGTTTTAGAGTATAGATATGTATAGATTGATAACTGATTATCATTGAGGAGGCAAGAAAGGACAACAGATCCATATATTTCATAGAAATCCACTTGCCTCCCATAATAGATGTGCTTCCAAAACCCGTAGACCTTATTTCTCATTTGGACTCGAAAAGCCACTGCAAATCATCATTGGGGAACAGATGAACAACTTAAAGCACTATCAAATGTGCCAAAATCTAAATGTTAGCGTACAAATTGGTCAAGTCACGATGAATTCGTGAGGTCCAATTTTAGGACCTCATGAACTCGTTGTGACTTGAGCAATCAGCAACTGAATTAGAGAACAATTTCCATCATATACTCGTAATAGAAGTCTGATTGATCACAAGCCTCATTGAAATTATGTGAGGCTCGACAATAAAGAATCGTTTATTTCGCCTAAACAACATTTCAAAGCGCTTTATGAGCCACTTTTGAAAAGATGGCTTGAAAACCCGGTTAAAACAAGCCTACTAACGACACATCTTTCATGATGACGACCTCGATTCCGCGCCTGGTCCTTATTGAACTAGCGTTCACATAGATGAAATAACCAAAAGTAAAATTAGTAACATGAAATAAAGAAATAGAAAGAAAGAATATATGAATATGGATTGCGCTATTTGGCGCCCGCTTTTGAAAAAACGATGCCCGCTTTTCGAACTGCTTTCAAACCACTTTTGAATTCTAAAGTGATTTCACACACCATTTTATCCTTTTTTTCAAACTCGATTGTCTCGTTTGTTCTAGTTTGTAGTCGACGTCAACATCCCTCAGCCACCTCAATTTCAGCTTCAATTTTAAAAATCAAAGCATGTTAACTTGCTTGATGATGAAGCAATGGTTGTTAGAAACTTTACACGCTGAAACCTGTAGCAGTGTAAAGACTCTAAATGTGCTTTGTTAGGAAACCAACATAAATGGCCAGAACAAAGGTTCTTTCAAGCAGTCATGGATGGTTGTTCAAAATGATACGTAAGAGTTGACTTCAGATATTTTAATGGATGGATGATCAAAGTGGACCTGGCTAAGGGCTTTACTTAGTTTGTGATCAGGAGGAGGTGAGGAGTGAGGTGCGATATCAAGAGAGACGTTGAGGCAATCGAAGGAGACTGACTGAAATGCGAGCTGAGAAAACGGTAAAGTGTAGGTCAGTGCCCGCTTTCCAAATATCATAGCCCGGTTTGGAGTAATTTGGCTGGGGGTACCGACAGGAAAGCGGGCATCGGGAAATTTGAAAGCGGGCGCCAAATAGCGCAATCCTATGAATATATATGATGAGTGTTTGATTCTTTCTTTGAACTCTTGATTGCAAAAATTACATCTGAAGTCATGTTGTGACATGGTGTCACTTCCCGGACGGCATGATGTACAAGATGACTCACATCAGGACATGATTTCTTTGAATCAAAAATCCCTGTTGATGTGTGTTGGTATGAGTCATGTCGGACGCTTTTTGGCTCGGGTATGAATTTTGTTCGCATATGACATGGAAAAATTACATGTGTAACTGATGTGCTGTTTATATGTCGGTATCGTATTCCATTTCACCTACACTTCAAGTTCAGCGAACCGTCATGAGACTTTCTTCACCACGGCTATTCTACCACCTGCCAACATCAAGCACACTACCAAGCAGATGCATCTCTAAGAGTAAGCTCCTAGAACCCCACTAGCCCGTTGATGTACATATCTCACCACCGAAGGTAACATAAAGTATTCTGACAGAGTTATCTTTTTGGTCACGCAGACGGAGCCTCACGATGGTTTTCAGCGCGGCGAGACAGAAATCACACTCGACCCTCATTCTGCTTTGATATTGATGGCGTCTTAAAAAAGGGCTCGTCTGTGTTACCAGAAGCGAAAGAAGCCCTGAAGATCTTGAGCGGTCATAATAACGAGGGTCATAGGTCAGCTCCTTTGATTTGAGATCGAGTGGACTTATATTGTATTTACAAACAAACACTGATATGTATTCGATTGTTTTGTCAGGTTCCCCTTCATATTATGTACCAACGGTGGAGGTCTACATGAGTCCGATCGCTGCCAAAAGTTGACTAATGAGCTCGGCGTTCCCGTCAGCCTTTTCCAATGAAATTGCCCGAGTGATAACATGAAGCACTTATGAACCGATCATCATCAAGCCCTTCAGATCTCTCCAAGGTCACTTATCCAATCACATACCGTATTCAGTCAGTTCGTCCCGCTGTACCATGATAAAGCGATATTGGTAGTAGGTGGCGCGAGTGATCGCTGTCGTAAGATCGCCGAAGCGTAAGCTCAATATTCTCTCCATGACTTCGAATTTAGAAGTGAATTCATGCTCCGTTCTAAATGCCTCCAGATCTCTCCTCTTTGTCATACTATGTCACTCATGATTTTGAAGATGAATTGACGGTCTTGTTTTTCTTCCAGTTACGGTTTCTCCAAGGTATACACTCCCCAAGATTTCCTGCGATGGAATTCAGCAGTATGGCCATTTTACAAACTGTCCGAGCGAGAAATTTCCAAAACAAAGGCAAGTGTCTTATCTGAATATGCTTATAAAATGAGCTTGCCGATGTGTGCTCATACTTTTGAATACCAGCACGAAGATATGTCCAAGATTCCCTTCAGCGCCATATTTGTAAGCATACTTTCAAGTGAAGAGATTGTTGAGCTGTGTACTGTCGTCTGACCTAAGATCAACACGGTGCATGCAGGTCATGCACGATCCTTTTGACTGGGGCTTGGCAACCCAAGTTTCGATCGACCTGTTAACATCGGCAGGCGGGATCATCACAGATCCGATCAAGTTTTCGAAGTGTGGTGATACCTTCCATCATATACCAATTTACTTTTCTAACCCAGACTTTATCTGGGGCAATGAGTTTTCTCGACCACGCTTTGGACAAGGAGCATTTCAGGTAAAATTTCATAGATCTCATTTGTGAGATTGTTACCTGATCATCTGGTCAATTTACGTAGATTGCACTCCGCGAGAACTACCGAAGACTGACCGGCCAGGACCTGAAGGGCTGGGTCGGTGGAAAGCCATCTCGTGAGACATACCAATTTGCCGATCGCTTGCTAAACGATCTTGCCCTCCTGGAGGGTGATGGAGACGACAAGCGAAATGGGAATGTTTATATGATCGGAGACAACCCTGCGTCCGATATACAAGGTGCAAACAATTATGGCTGGAAATCGGTACTTGTACAAACAGGAGTCTTTACTGGGAAAGAGCCCACTGACTCTGAGTTCCCACCTACTGCTGTACAACCCAATGTCTTAGATGCTGTCAAATGGGCATTGATACAAGAGGGATATCGTATCTAGCATATTGGGAAATTTTGCGTATTGCGCACCCAGTGTTCACCTTCGTCACGCCTGCGCGTGTTATCTCTGTAATTGTATCTTTTGATTCTGTTTAATGTTAGGAGTGAAACTATGTGTTTGGTTGAATAAGATGTCCTTTTTGACGGCACCGTTGCTCAGGACTTGGTGCACTAAAACCATATAATCAAATGTGTCTCACACAACTTATTTTCTTATACTTGAGAAGCGTCTTCATGAGTTGTGTAGTTGACATGCTACAATACTGTCATGGACCAAAAGCTGGCTAAGAGAAGAGTGTGGGATATTTGCTTCATGGCAAGATCAATGAAACACGAAATGATGGCCATGGAGAGAGTACATTGGCATCTTTCCAGGAAGTCATCAAGTGATATGAAATCCAAAACATTTTACTCATTTGACACCGTTCACACTCTTCCTTAGTGATGGAGGACAACATACAAAACATGAAAACAAATCTAACCACGTCTAAAAAGAACAAATAACTTATAAATAACAGTTGAGTATGAGATACTTTGACGTTCCCTATTTTTTTGTCCCTTTGACAAGCAATTCCACCCTAAAGATCAACCTGAGGACATGGTTTTGTATCTTTTCACCCACCATAAACAAAAGTAAACGTAAATCTCCGTAAATCTCCCAGCAATGCAGCCTCTACAGGAACCAGTCAGGTATCTTGAGGCACATATTCACTCTACATCGCTATAATACTACTGACAATCCAGAACAGAGAGAGAAAAAACTACTGTGGCTCTGTACCTCTATATATATACTCCGATCCATGGAATTCAATGGTTCTTTGACCGACTCAAGTCAAATGCCACCAATCAATTGATCACATTTTTCAACACTAGTATCTTGCCTTGGCTGGTATGTTACGTAGAAGAAAACCAAAGCATGCCAACGACGCCGTCTATTGAGAAAGATGTCCGAAGCATCTCTTTTCGTGTCTCGTGAGATTAGCAAACGTAGAGAAAGAACTTCCGCAAGTAAGACATCTATTTCCTATTCATCAAATCAAGATTAGAATCAGTTATCATAAGTCGGGGAAGTTGAAACTTTGAAAAGTCAATTAAACGCGACTGACGTTGTTTTTCAACTGGTGTCTTGCCCTGCATGTCATTTTTGGAGCGTCGCGAGCTGCAAAGATCGACTGAGCATTTCGAAGCAAGCATGAGTCAAAATGGACAATTCAGCCCCATGATTTACAGAATGTCAGGACTTGAATTAACATACGAAGATCAGACCTAAAACCAAAGCGTCCCCCCGGTCAGTGGACTGAGTTGGTGATAGTTAGGTGTTGGAAAAGACTTTACCTCGCCCTGCTCCTTCCGTGAACCAGCTTGGATGGAGTGTGATTTTTCGTAGGTGAGTTTTTCAACTTCAAATGACACAAGGTTCAAAAATCAGTACGTGTTGAAGGACATCAATGATACTAATAGGATGACTGACTGAGTTAGGTTGAGAAAAATTATGGGAACGTGTTGTAGCTGATGCTCCAAGATCTTTCGGCGGCAGTGAGGGGGGCAGCGTGCCCCAAGCGCAAAGACTTTGAGTAGCGTGCCCTACGTCTGCGTGTGGACTGACCGTACCAGAGGAAGAAGCTAATATATAGGCATGAAGTGGAATGGAAGTAGTAAATCGAACTAGCTTGTCACAAATTAAACCTGCCATAAACTCTTACTAACCTTTTGAAGATCGTGCAGGGTTGCTCCAGGGTGGAGACGTGAGGTTAGAGCTGGAAGTGAAGCGTATATCGAAATCATTTTCCCCCTTATCACTGGAATCGGGTGTTAAATCTGATTCCTTGTCTAGCTCGCTATCATGAACAGCATTGATCACTTGAAAATGATCCAAGTATGATTTCGGATCAAGAGGGGGAGGATGGCGAGGAGATATTGATGACAGAAGGGGTTTTGAAGTTGTTACAGAGAGAGGTGAAACTGGGTTAAGTAATTTTCGCAATGAAGGGGGTAATCGTTGGTCATATCCATCATGAGGCCGAACGTTGACAAAGGGATTTGTATTTCTGATTTCTTTATCTAGAACGTTATCATGACTGAGTTGAGCATTCGAGATCATAATTCGTCATCAAGATCAACATAAAAGTGACAAGGATCAAGTGAATTGAGGGAAAAAGTTTTGAGCTTTATAAGATTCAGCAATACAATCAGCTGAACTTCAAATGGCACCTCAAAGCCTTTCTTGAACTGAGACAATCTTTGTTTAGGTCCACTTGCTGATTCGATTTATTTGTGACCCGAAAGAGACTTGTGAGTAACTCTGTGGTTCCTTATCTTCAAAGAAATTCGCTTGTCAAATCAAATGATCCGCAGAATCCCCAGCCAAAGACCGACTCTGGGCAAATCGTTCTAAAATTACACCTGCCTTCCGTTCTCGACGCTCGTTGGACATGTACCACCAGCCGGCAAGGTCCGGAACTATGTATTCATGCATGATGATGGCCTGCGAAGAGTCCAAAGGCAGTCCCCTCTCCCCAAGAGAGTTCAAGCAGCCCTGAAGCCTCCATAAGGTTTGAAGAGTTTCTCAAAGGACTATGGGCTGTTGACTGGTCACATTTTGTCAGAGCCTATCGGTAAAAGTTCTGCCAAAACAGTCCCAAGGAATCAAACTCTAATGTTGTAGTCGAATTTTTACAACTCAAGAAACTTCACACGCTGAATTGGGAAGAATCAAGTTCAACGCTTTAGCCTTTATAACCGCTTCGGTAGTGCACTGCCGGAATGGATAAAATTGGAATGCCATTTTAGCTTACTGCTGCCACTGGGCCATTCCTTTGGAACCAGTGAAAACATATTTCTCACATCGTTAGACGGTGCTGGGATGCAAGACTATCCCATCTTACCTCAACAGTTTTTGCAATGGATCACGTATTCCATATGAATACCGCATAGAGGGGTTTCGCTCAGATGAGGTCTGTAAGTTCAAGGGTCAAGCTGCAAGCAGTGTAAATTTAACTTGAGTTGGTAGGACGACCCCGCCCGGAAAATCAGACTCATGCATAGTATGAAAAACTCCCCTGTTATGTAAATATGTATTCCTCCGTTAATGTGAAAGTGGGTATTTCCACAGTGCGAAAGGACCATTGTGACTAATTGTCGGCTATTATGTAAATTCGAAACCAAGATAGAAAGAGAAAAAACAATAAAGAGATAATTTATATTTGATGAATACCTGAACATGCATGTATTATGATTCCGAAGAAGAGGGGCAAGATTAAACTCAAACTTTATCCATCATGTTCAGCTTCCCTTACAGTCAAATGAGGTCAAATGAGTCTGTCGCACCAGACAGTCAAGGCAACATATTTCGGTCATCGAATTTGAGGCCGATTGAACTTCAAACATGAATACTCCTACAACTGAAGTGTATCGTAAATCAGCATGCGATCACCCGCACTTGGAAAAACTCAAAGATGACGAGGGACGGCTGGCTAGCGTCAAGGCGGGGCGGGATATGTACATGCCATAATTAGAAACTATAAATGGTATATTTACACCACGGGAATTATTAAGTTCAAACCCCAATTGAGGAGAATTGTGGTGTCTGAGTCCGCAACTTGTCTCAATTGCAGATCTAGTTCCCATTACATTCACATTATGTTCACAAGTTTCCCTCAGGGTTCTTTGATAACACTTTGTCACAAGACATATACATATAAAGGCCCCTTTCAGACCATTGAGTGTCTTTCATATTACATTCCCTGTCCTCTCTCTTTACGCTTGCCATAGACATGCTGCCAAGGATGTTTGGCAAATCCAGATTTGATGACTGTGGCATCTTTATATCCAATGGAGTCAGGATTGAGAAGGGTGAGGCCTGAACCGTCCTTGACCCGTCAGCCCACATGATTACAGCTTGAGGGAAACTTGTGAACCTAATGTGAACAAGTTGTGAACAAGATCCGCAATTGAGACAAGTTGTGGACTCAGACACCACAATTCCGCTTAATCAGGTTTTGAACTCAATAATTCCCGCGGTGTTACTTATATTTAAATCAAAAAGAAGATGATCTTCTTCGGGGAAGTTTACCAGGGTTTGCCTCCATTTGTTTGACATCTCTTATGTAACAGAATTGGCCGGGGACACGGAACCCCAAACTTACATTGTCCATTCAGGAGCAAGGTGTAAACACAGAGTGCTTGAAGCAGTGCCTTTACAAGTCAAACTTTGTAAGAAAACAAGAAAAGGAAGAACTTCAAGGTTTTTTTTTCTTTAAACAGATCCGTAAAAGGGCACTTTACAAACTTTACACATCGAGATGTGAATTTGTAAGTCGCATAAAGTGAACACCCCAACCTGAGGAAAATTCACAAAAATTCCTCACGTGAAGTCTGATGCTGCAAATCATCTCCTGATGTCATAGATCACTTTTTTCCGTCCGTTTACAGAGTTTGCAGCATCGATATTAGATAGAACCTTTCGGCATTCGAGCCGGCCAATGGGACTTGAAAGTTGAAACCTTCAGTTGCTTTCCAAATCGAAGTGAATTTGGGAGCGGAATTCTTGAGTAGTGTGAGTACCCGATTGTAAGCGATGGCCGGTAAAATGTAAGATGAGGTGCCCGGGCCAAGTCCCAAGAGCTTTCTTTGAAATCAAGCTTTGTTCATGCGGTGTCAAATTCTAAGTTTGGGACCTGCGTTTGCTCACTAACAAGATCTCACACCACCTGGTGCCTATATCTCCGTGATTTGGATATTTCCATCCAGGGAATGAAGTGTACCGGGTGTTAAATCACGGAAAACCAAACAGGTCAAATCTGGAGTTCTCAAGATTCAATAGTGCTCGGAG